TAAGTAATTGGCAAAAGTATTGACTTATCATATAAATTTGACTCAGTAATTGACATGGTTCCAAGAACAATAAGCATACTCTGGGCACTAGATTAAGTTGTAAAGGAAAATTACTTTTTCAGCTCAGGTGAGGTGACGGAAATCTGTTTCTGTAGTTATTAGCTTGATCTTGTCTGCATCGCCATCTTTGAAGTTCCTGTGCATTCAATCTGATTTATCTCTGCCTTTGTTGAAAAAATTACAGTAAATCTTTGGGTCTGTTAAATTTTTTTCAGAAATTAAAATACTGTTTTTTGGGGAGTGCTCGTGTGAAAGATCAAAGAGATTGAAACAAGAACTTTGTGTTCATCGTTCTTCTCGGAGTGCTCGGTGAAAGATCAAAGAGATTGAAACAAGAACTTTGTGTTCATCGTTCTTCTCATTTGTTCGTGCTAGTTGCTTCACACGTTTCGAGCTGGATAATTACCAAAATCGTGCTATTTTTTGCTGTTTGTTTTTCTGTGTGAAAAATGTCCGCTGCTAATCAATATAGTATGATTCAATATGGTATGGCTCCGTTCAACGGAAAATCTGATTTTAGCATTTGGAAACAAAAAATAAAATGCATCTTAATTCAACAGAAGTCCGTTAGGGCTGTTGGTCAGACTTATTTAACCTCTGACACTGAAAATAAACGGGCGGAAATGAACGAAAATGCTTGTTCCACAATTTATTTGAACTTATCTGACTCTGTGATTAGAAAAGTTAGAATTTTGGACTGTGCTAAAACTCTTTGGGATAAACTTGAAGAACTCTATACTGAAACCTCTTTGCCCAGTAAAATGTTTTTGCTTGAAAATTTTTTCAAATTTAGATTGGATATGTCTAAGGACATTGAGGAGAACCTAGATGTTTTCACAAAACTTATTTCAGATATTAAGTTAACTGGTGATAAACATATAGATGATTATACTCCTATTGCCCTTCTAAATGCTATTCCTGACTCATATAATGATGTGAAATCTGCTATTAAATATGGTAGAGATGAGGTTACCCTTGATGTTGTGGTCAATGGTCTTAAGAGTAAGGAATTAGATTTAAAACATTCTGGGGGAAATAAAAATTCTGGTGAGGTTATGCATGTGAGGGGTAGGCCTCAGAATAGGTCTAATTACCAAAAGAATGCTAGTAATGGGGAATAAAGTAAGAAAAAATTTGAAAAATGGAAGGGGTAGATCTAAGTCCAGGTTTAAAGATAAAAAATGCTATAATTGTCATGAAACTGGTCACTTTATTAAAGATTGTCCTAAGCCTAAGAAAAATCAGCAAAATGAACATGCTAATATGGCTGTCTGTGAGGGCAAAATGGGTGAGATTTTCATGATTAATAATCTGTGTGATTATGCATATTTGAACTCTGTGTTATCTGATCCTTTGTGTAAATCAGATTGGTTGGTAGACTCTGGTTGTACTTTTCATATGACTCCTTTTAAAACCTTGTTTTCAAACTACAAGAAAATAGAGAATGGCTTTGTGTCAATGGCAAATGAAAAGAAATGCAATGTTTTAGGAACTGGTGATGTATGCCTTAGGTTTTCCTCTGGTTCTGTGTTTACTTTGAAGGATGTTAGGCATGTTCCTGATTTACGTTATAACTTGATTTCTTGTGCATCTCTAGAAAATGATGGTTTGGAGGGAAAATGGGGTAAAGGGGTTATGAAAATTCAAAAAGGGTCTCTTGTTGTTTTTACTGCTGAAAAACAAAACAATTTGTATATTTGTCATGCTGAACCTGTGCTTGATTCTGTTAACTCTGTGATAGGTGATAAATCTGTTTTATGGCATAATAGATTAGGTCACATGAGTAATAAAGGATTAGAAATTTTGCATAAAGGAGGTCACTTTGGTAGTGATAAAATATCCCCCATCCCTTTCTGTGAATCTTGTGTGCTAGGAAAACAACATAGGGTTACTTTTCCTACTTCTTCTTTTCCTAATCAGTCTAAGTGCACTAGTGTACTTGAATATTTGCATGCTGATGTGTGGGGTCCCTCTAGTGTGCCTACGCATGGAGGGAACCAATATTTTCTTTCCATAATTGATGATTATTCTAGGAAAGTTTGGGTTTTACTCATGAAACAAAAATCTGAAGTTTTTGATAAATTTAAAAACTGGAAAATTATGATTGAAAACCAAACGGGAAAGAAAATTAAAACTCTTAGGACAGACAATGGTCTTGAGTTTTGTAACAAACAATTGAATGATTTGTGTACTACTTGGGGTATTAAAAGGCATAAATCTGTTCCCTATACACCCCAGCAGAATGAGATTGCTGAAAGGATGAATAGAACTCTCTTAGAGAGGGTGAGGGCTATGTTGGCCACATCTGGGCTCTCCAAGAAGTTCTGGGGAGAAGCTGTTTGTACTGCAGCCTATTTGATTAATAGGTCTCCTTCTGTTCCCTTAGGAGGGAAATGCCCTGAATTTGTGTTCACGGGCAAACCTCTTGATTTAAATAATTTGAGAATTTTCGGGAGTGCTGGCTACGTGCATCAAAAGATTGATAAGTTAGAACCTAGATCTAAGAAATGTGTTTTCTTAGGATATCCTGAAGGGGTAAAAGGTTATAGGCTTTGGAATAAGAGTGAACCGGGGTTTAAGGTAGTGATAAGCAGAGACGTTGTCTTTAATGAAAATGAATTTCCTTGTTTACCTTTACATGTTCCTATTCCTGAAAATGATGCTCCAAATGAGGTGGAGCAAAAGCCTATTATTAATCAACCCAAATCATTTCCTGAAGAAAAATTGAATGATATAATTATTGAAAATCAAGATGAGATTATTCCAAATGAGGTGGAGCATGATATGCAGGAAATAGATAACATGCATGATTTGAATGATTATCAACTCACTAGGGATAGAAATAAAAGAACCATTAGGAAACCTGAAAGATATAGAGATTGCAATTTGATTGATTGTAATATGTCTGAGTTTGCCTTTAATGTGTTTGAATCCCTTGAGTGCAATGAACCTAAGACTTATAAAGAAGCATTAAGGTCAAAATATTCTGAAGAATGGATTAGTGCTATGAAGAGTGAGATGGAATCCCTAAAAATTAACCAAACATGGAAACTTGTTCCTAAACCTGCTAGTTGTTCTGTAGTGGACTGTAAGTGGCTGTTTAAGGTGAAACAAGAATCTGAAAGTGTTAGGTTTAAGGCTAGGTTAGTAGCTAAGGGATTTACTCAAAAGGAGGGAATTGATTATGCTGAAATTTTTGCTCCTGTTGTCAAATTCACTACTGTTAGAATTATGCTTGCTTTAGTTGCTCATTTTAATTGGGAATTAAAACAAATGGATGTAACTACTGCTTTCTTGCATGGTGATCTTGATAAAAATATTTATATGCACCAACCTGAGGGCTTTGTGGACCCTAAATTGCCTGATCATGTGTGTTTGTTAAAAAAGGCTTTGTATGGTTTAAAACAATCACCTAGGCAATGGAATATTAGATTTGATAAATGCATGCAATCTTTAAAGTTTAAAAGGAGTTCTGCTGATCATTGCCTGTATTATAAGAATATAGACTCTGTGCCTGTATTTCTTGTAATTTATGTGGATGACATGTTGATTGTTAGTCCTTGTTTGAAGTCTATTGAGCATGTTCAAAAATGTCTTTGTGAAAATTTTGACATGAAAGACTTAGGTGATGCTAAAAGAATCCTAGGCATGAATATTATTAGGGACAAAAACAAATCTACTCTAGTTTTAAACCAAAGTTCATATGTTGAAAAAATTTTGAGTAAATTTGCTATGTCTAATGCTAAATCTGTGAATGTGCCTCTTGCTTCTCATTTTGTGTTAAGTAAGGATCAATCTCCCAATACTGAAACTGAAATAAATGATATGAAGAAGGTGCCATATTCGAATGCTATAGGATCTGTCATGTATCTCATGGTTAGTACTAGGCCTGACATTGCATATGCGGTTAGTTGCTTGAGTAGATATATGTCAAACCCTGGTATGCCTCATTGGAATGCCTTGAAGTGGCTTTTAAGATATTTGAAATCCTCTGTGGATGTAGGATTAACCTTTTCTAAGTGTTCTGAAGGTGTCAAACTTGCTGGCTATGTAGATTCCAATTATGCAAATGATAGGGATAATAGAAAATCTACCACTTCCTATGTGTTTACTTTGTGTGGCTCTTGCATAAGTTGGAAATCCCAATTACAACCCATTGTTGCTTTATCTACTACTGAATCTGAGTATGTTGCTACCACTGAAGCTTTTAAAGAAGCTATTTGGCTTAGGGGCCTTATATCTGAAATTGGTTTTCTTGATAAAAATGTGGTTGTATTTTCTGATAGTCAATCTGCTATTCAACTTTGCAAAAATCCTGTTTTTCATGATAGAACTAAACATATTGATGTTAGATTTCATTACATTCGGGATATAGTTGAAAAGGGTATTGTCAAGTTAGAGAAAATTCCCTCAGAATTTAATCCTGCTGACATGGGTACTAAGTGTTTGCCTGCTGAAAAATTCATATCGTGTCAAAGAATCTTGAATTTTGATTTTGGGTAAATTTTGACTTTGCTTTGTTTGTTGCCTTTGTGGCCTATTAACTTGCTTTGTGCTTGTTAATAGCTTTGTTAAACCCTAGCCTCCTCCTCCATGTCGGCTGCCCCCTTCCCCATATAAGGTGAAGGGCCGGTAGTAGCTGGAAAGAGGAAGAAAAGAGAGACGGTGTCTTGAGATTCAGAGCTAAGTGCTCCTCCCCTTTGTGTGATTAACCTCCTTCTGTGAGCTTTGTGCTCCTGAGAGCTTTGTGCTCTTTCCCCCTTTGTGCGACCCCTCTTTGTGAGTGACTGGTGAAGGAGATCAGTGAGCTCTCCCCTTTGTGTTCTTGGTGGTGCACTGTGTGTGAAAAACGGGGACTGATTTAGCAGGTTTCTGAGCCAAACGACAACGCAGATCCTCAACAATATGCAATTTTCACCAAGAATTCGATCAGAAACAAATGATAAAAATAAAACTTTTTGAACTTTTAAATTGCAAATAATGTCACACAATTTGATTTGCTATCAGTTACATCATTCTTCTAAATGGGTGGTTGCAAATTCCCCATGTGTTGTTCAATAGCCAAACAGATGGGAGATTCCCCAGTTTCCCCTCGAACTATGATTAATACAGTATCCTAATTTCTCTACATCTTAACAAAATCACTTTCTCGATAACAGATAATTTTTCAGGTACCTTCTGCTCATCAGTCCAGAATTTTCTCGCCGGTTGAGAAGAAGTTCCATACTAGTGTACCAACCATGTACAAAATAATTGACACCTTAAACACATCATCCCATGAGCCTGGCAATTCAAAAAAAAAAATTATAGATGCAACTTAAACACAGAAAATTAATAAATAAAAACCGATGGATAATGTTTGTGTTCCATTCTTGCCTCGTTGTAGGATGTATCCTGTGGCAGCAGTGCCTAAGACCCCTGCAAGCACCCCAGCTGTGTTGGACAGGCCCAATAGAACACCCTGTTGATGGAAGCACAATTTTGGATTATCAGTAAGGCATCGAGATAATCTAAACTAAAGTTTAGATTTTAGAGAAAATAGAATTAAGTAATTGGCAAAAGTATTGACTTATCATATAAATTTGACTCAGTAATTGACATGGTTCCAAGAACAATAAGCATACTCTGGGCACTAGATTAAGTTGTAAAGGAAAATTACTTTTTCACAATAAATGGTACATAAACAGAACTGGTTGCATTTGGGATAGGCTAGATAGATCTTACTCCAGCTAGTTACTAACAGTTTATATTTACTAGTTGTAAAGATAAAAGTTCTCAGCTGCTTTTCCGTTTGCTGACAAGTAGTATATATATGACGAAGAGACTTCAAATGAACACATCAATTTAAAAATGAAATAATCGTATATCTTAGAAAAGAGAGGAAGTTTTGTAAAAGACTGTTCAGAAACTCATTGTATGATGACCTTGAAGATTCTGTGTTTATGAATAAACTTGCAGCATTCAATTATATAATTGAACTCCGCAGTTACCATCCGTCCATCTAGGATACCAGAAGGACACCTCTATTTAGAGACATGTTATGAATTTGAGACTTCCCAGAAATAAATTCTGGACAAACCTCTATATATTTAACCTAAATGTTTATTCCATTAGCAGTACAGAAATATTTTTCTCTGTGCGTGCGCGCCACCTCCGAGTCTTACTTTTTTGCATATGTAGATTAGAAAAAACGAGTAAAGGTTGAAACTTTCACATCCAAAACCCACTGTAGCCTATGGGAAAAGTCATTTGTGGTGGTGGAAAGGGGAAACTTACTGCGTAGCGTGGCCCAATGTCTTGGTGATTGGAATAGAGACCAGACTGTGAGAATGCATCACTTCCCTGCAAAAAGTGACAGGAATATGCTTACATTTTCAAACTAAATTTGTCACATAGTTTAAAAACAAATAAAAGTTATCACATATAATAGGGGAACACACAAGTTTGCAAGTATTATGAGAGAACTAAGATATTTTCAGTGTCCCAAGCTTCACTAGAACTTTTATTTCATATGACTCAAAAAAACCATGAAATTATCTCTTGAAAAGGGATAAGAGTAAGAAAGAGAAGGAAGCCGGCAAACGGATTTTTCCGTTGATTGTGATTTTGACAATCCAATATCTAATACTATTATAAAAGTGGGTTGCTATGTTAAAACATTTTTTTCCGAAAATGCCCTTTTAAACATATACATACATACATAAAATACATGCATCCATAATAATAAATCATACTCATACATACAAAATAACCCCAATTAAATGCATGCCCTTTTAAACATATACATACTTATATAAAATACATGCGCATAAAACATATCCATACATACATAACCCCAAATAACATGAATAATTTATATTTAAATACTCACACGGAAAATTTTATATTTAAATATTCATATGCACGGGTACATGAGCATTCGAATTAGCCAAAAATTGATAGCGTGCTTCGTCATCTAGGAAAGTGTGAAGTGTTGAGAGAGATCGCTTCCCATGCATTTCTATCTCAGAACTCAATTCATTTATTTATTGATACATTACTTACATGAAATTATTTGTATGTATAAATTATTAACAAAATTATTTATAATAGTAATGTTAAATAATTTTAACAATTTTAATTGATGATGTAAAATATATATACTCAATTATTTAACTATTAACATTAATATTTTATTTATTGAATAATAGTTCCTAATAATTGTTAATAGTTTTGAATTAAAATTATTTGGTATGCTTAAATTTGTATGGTTATAATTTTAACAATTTATTTAATAAATACACTTACGCCTCAAGTATTATTTTGAATAGGTTTGCACGCATCAACATATTATTGTGATAACCTAATTCTCATATCCTTCATTCATGATGTTATTAACATTTTTGTAACCTCCCATCAACATATTAATCTCTTTCATTAACTTTATTTCCGTTACTAAAAAATGGCAATAATTATTTCCGTCAATAATGGTAATAATTATTTGGCGAGTCATTATTACTAAAAAACCGGTTATAAACATTCCAATAATGGCAATAATCATTTGGCGAGTCATTATCACTACAAAATCGGTTATAAGTCAAATATTATATAAATCTAATCCATACACAGCTTTAATCCTACAAGATCTTACCAAATCCTACCAAAAAATAGAGAACAAGAGGATATGGAAGCAACAAGTTGTGATTCAAAAAGGTTAGTAAAATCATGTTTTTGTATATTCCCATTTTGCTTATATTCCCATTTTGCACCTAAAAACAAATAAAAGATCTCAATGGAAGCAAATCTAGGAAGAGAGGAATTTTTCATGATTCTTTCACATTTGTTTACCCTCACAATGTTTTTTTTAATATAGCAGTATAGGTATTACATGAAATTAATTGTGCACGGGTACATGAGCATTCGAATTAGCCAAAACTTGACAGCGTGCTTCGTCATCTAGGAAAGTGTTGAGAGAGATCGCTTCCCATGCATTTCTATCTCAGAACTCAATTCATTTATTTATTGATACATTACTTACATGAAATTATCTGTATGTATAAATTATTAACATAATTATTTATAATAGTAATGTTAAATAATTTTAACAATTTATATTGATGACGTAAAATATATATACTCAATTATTTAACTATTAACATTAATATTTTATTTATTGAATAGTAGTTCCTAATAATTGTTAATAGTTTTGAATTAAAAATATTTGGTATGCTTAAATTTGTATGGTTATAATTTTAACAATTTATTTAATAAATACACTTACGCCTCAAGTATTAACATAATAAAATTGCTATTTTATTTATTAACTCATTATAAATTTTTGAACATATTTTGCACGTGCCTCAAGTATCTAAATTGAAGTTACTAATCTTTTCTAGAACATAAGGAATCTTTTCGATTGTTTTCACTAACTGTTGTTTTCACTTACTTCTTATAAAATTTTGTATTAGAGAGAACATTATCCCTTCTCCATTCTATATTGCTCTATATCACACTGATTAGGAGCAATATTAGTTTTTAAGCAAAGTTTTATTCTATGTGTAATCATGAAAAAACTAATAAGCTAATTAGTAATGTAAACTGGACTCATCATTTTTTTTTTCGTGCAGGGTGTCATCTGATCAAGATGGAATTAATGATCAAACCAACATCCTGATCCGAAAGATAAAAATTTATCAAAAATAATGTAGTATAAATATTCGTGTATTACGTAATACTATATATAGACTTCTTTAAGAATGGAGAATGGAAGAAGCAAAAGTTGATTCTGATTGATGAAGATGTGAAACGAATTTTATATTGTTATTATTCCATGTAATTTTTATATTACCGTGATGACGTGATTTATTTTTTATTATGCCTTTTGTAGGGAACACTTATCCAAGCAATTTTATTTAATGAGCTGATAGAAAAGTTCAGCGGTTTATTGATAAAGGGAGAAACATATGTTATAACAAATGGAGAAGTGAAGCCTCCAAATTTGAAATATCCAATAATTAATCCAGATAAAGAGTTGGTTCTAACAACAGAGACAGTCATTCGAGAAACAAAAAAACTTTGTATCATTAGAGAAGTTGAAACCAATATTCTTTTCATTTAAAGATGCTTCTGCTTTTTGATGATGGAAGGTTATTGTGAATGAATTAGCAACTAATATGTTTATGTAAAAAAAACTTACTTCAAGAACAAAATATTTCATCCCGTTCGTTGAGAATTTGCACGTGCAAATATCTTACTAATTATTTGGAAGAGAGCTCCGATTTTGTAATGAATCAATGTTCAAAAGAGAGTTCGCTTTCATTCTTGATCTTCTACGTATGTTTAATTATTGAGGATAAATTTTTAAAAGAATATAAATTATCTTTTACTTTTACCATATATGTTCACAAAATTCTAGCCTATTAGTTTTGAACAAAGTTTGTAAAATCGAATTGATATTTTTTTCCATATACAGCGAAATTTAATTATAAAAATTCAAAAGAAAAAACACAAATATGTTCACGTGCAACGCACGTGCACTATACTAGTTATTATAAAAGTGGGTAACTATGTTAAAACATTTCTTCCTAAAATGCCCTCCAACACATCCATACATACATACATGAAACACGCAAATACCCAATTTTTTATAACCTCACATTGACTACACATCCATCCATTCATACGTACATGATGGCACACGCATACTCAATCTTTCATAACCTCCATATTTATGACAATCAAATTTTTATTTAACCACTCACTCATAACATTCATCCACTAACTCTTGACACTAAATATAACTTTATTCACACTAATGATGAAAAACGTTATAACTTTTCATCTCCCACCAAATCACTATAAATAACAACAAAACATTATAACTATCCATTTCAACAACCAAAATTCTGTTGTGCGCGACGCGGAAGCGGTCGAATCACACAATCCAAACAAGAGAGATCACAACCAAATAAACAAGCACAATCACCAATTAACACAAGAGATTTACGTGGTTCGGTAAGTTGCCTACGTCCACGGGGCAAGAAGGGGATGGAGTTTTCACTAATAGAGAAAGAATACAAACTGAGATTACAAATCACTCGAAGGAACAAACTAATCTCACCAATAAGCTCTTAATCTCTCCAAACAAAACCCTAAACAAATAGCTCAGAAAATACCTCTTTTCTGTGCTCCAAATATCCCCAATTTTTCTTCTCCTCATTCTCTTTTCTAATTGTTCCATATATATAGAAATCCTAAAATCATAAACATACTAGGAATTCTAAACCAAAACCAAATCAAATTAGGAATCCTAATAACCTATTACCAAAATAGATTAGGAATCCTAATAACCTCATGTTACCAAAATAGAATAGGAATCCGTTTTCCAACAATTCTTCACATCGGCAAAGTTTTCCCAAAACTAAGCCGACACCGACCAAACCAAATGCCTCACTTGTTGCGTCCAGTACGAAGTGAAACGATCCACAACAACGGACTCAATCCATAACAAGTCGAGACCCAAACGGGAGTGCGAACACTCACCCAAACGTTGGTATCTACTCACCAAATCGGCTGCATCAAAACTGACTGCCTACGCATCCTCCTGCCCAGTGAATCAAGCCTTCACGTAGTTCGCCCAAATGGCCTCCAAAGGCCTCAATCCACTAGAAGAGTTCGCAACCCTTCTCTAATATCACGATCAAGTGTCCCAAAGATCTGATCATCACTCTCCACCTGCCGAGAGTCAAACGTGACATACCTGCTCAGAACAAAGCCAGAAGCCAATACCTGATAATCAAGCACGCCTCTGAATCCCAAATGTGCTATCGGATCAAATCTCACATCCACGATGTGACCGAGTGCTGGGTAGCCAAACATCCGACGCAACCCAAAAACTGAAGCAGCTCCACCACTAATCCAAACATCTCCACCTGAGATGAACCAATGACCATATCCAGACTACATCCATCAGCTGTACTCAAATCAATCAACCTATCATCTGCATCCAAATCAACACGATTCCAAATCTGTGTCACGTCAGCTGGAATCCTAAATGATGTAGTATGATCTGGAGTTTCCTCCCAATGTGGAGTAGCATCACTCTTCACCCGCTGCGATGTCCCAAAGATCTGATCATCACTCTCCACCTGCCGAGAGTCAAACGTGACATACCTGCTCAGAACCAAGTCAGAAGCCAATACCTGATAATTAAACACGTCTCTGAATCCCAAATGTGCTATCGGATCAAATCTCACATCCACGATGTGACTGAGTGCTGGGTAGCCAAACATCCGACGCAACCCAAAATCTGAAGCAGCTCCACCAGATCCCATATCTATACATGCAGCAGTTGGCAACCTATACATGAGACGGCCAAAACATGTCATAGCCTGCACACCAATGCCAATGCTCGACATCAAACGCCAATCCTCCTCCGGAAAGGAACAGCTACCTGAATCTGCCATCTCGTCTTGTCGCCTCAAAGTTTCCACACCAATGAAGTGTCTCCTATTGCCGTGAGCTCGGCACAAATACAAGAAAGAACCCCTACCATAATCAGAACGTCGGGTTACCTTTCTACCAACACACTTTCTCCATCTGTTGTGGGCTTCTAGGACTTCACACCAACGGGATTTGGTTGCAACCCACCAATGCCTAGAGCAATCCCCAACTACGGAAACCACATACCTATTACCTCCCAATAATGCTCCTTTGGAAGGCTCCCGAATGCCTGAATGAACACCCCTCAGAAAACCCCTCGAATGATGGATAGAAGTACCAAACTCCACCTCGGTCTTCTCTCTCATACCAATGGGTTCACAGGACTTCAAACTACAGGTCAAAGCACTCCTCAAAAATCTATGCACGACATTTCCAATCAAATAACCCAGCATCAAACAACGCCACAGTCTAGCCGAATCTGATGAAGTCGTCATCTCTCTATCAATCGTCGTGCTTCCGAGTAAATAATACAAATTACTCCTTCTGACGCCCTTCATAACAATCATGGACCCCAATGTGACCTTCAAACGTGCATCATCCAAGGTCACTTTATAGCCAGATGTCACCCCGGAACGAACCTCACTCCTTCCAACTCCTGAATCACTCCGTCATACATCCGAATACGAACGGTACTAATACCACCAATAGAGCATGCATGTCCATTACCCATGAGCATAACATCCTCTCTTTCCAACTTCTGAAAGCTGGAGAACCAATCCCTCCTAGGGCATACGTGGTATGAAGCACCCGAATCCAACATCCACTCTGTAGAGTTGGCAACACAAACTGATGGCAGTGCAGACAATAAATAGCCCGAAGAATCCGAATCTGAATTGTTGCCACTAGTCTTGACAACATTCACATCTGAAGCTTGTACAGCTTTCCCCTTATTCTTCTCGGCTCGATCTAACTTTGGGCATTCAGCTTTCCAATGTCCATCCTCTTTACAAAAGGCACACTGATTCCTACGAATCCCACGATGTGCACCTCTAGACTGCGACCTCCTGCTTCGGTTTAAACCATGACCATGAACTACTAATGCATCTCCCGATGCCTTTTCGGAGGACTCATCAACACTCTTCCTTAACTCATAATTCACCAACGCTGAGGTCACCTCCTTGTAACTAACAATAGTTCTTCCATTAATCATAGTTAGGACAAACGTACCATAATCATCATCGGGCAACGAACACAAAAATAGCATCGCCTTGTCTTTATCCTCAACCATGATATCCACATTAGCCATGTCTGAAAGTAGCTTTGTGAAGTTGTTAACATACTCCCTAATGGAAACTCCCCTCTTCATCTTGAACTGATAAAACCTCTTCTTTAAGTGAAGCCGATTCTCAATGCTCTTAGTAAGATACTTTTTATTGAGTGTTTCCCACATCTTTTTCGCCAAAGTCTCGTTCATCACATCATAAATAAGATCTGGCGTCAAGCATGACCGAATAACTCCACACGCCCTACTATTCATCTTCTTTCAAACCTTAGCTTCCATCTCGGCAGGTTTCTCTTGTAACTCAAGACTCACCTCCAAATTCTGAGCGTCTAACGCATCCATCACCTGACACCTCCACAAACCGAAATTGATCTTACCATCAAACTTCGGAACATCGATCTTAATGTTATTGATGCTCAAACTATGTATCGTCTTCGTAAAAGACGATCCCGATATGCTTGCTTCACCCATGTTGTCGATCTAACTCTTCAAATATGAATCCTTCAGCGAATCCTTCAAACAAGTCTCAAGTTGAACCCGAAGCTCTGATACCAATTGTTGTGCGCGGCGCGGAAGCGGTCGAATCACACAATCCAAACAAGAGAGATCACAACCAAATAAACAAGCACAATCACCAATTAACACAAGAGATTTACGTGATTCGGCAAGTTGCCTACGTCCACGGGGCAAGAAGGGGATGAGGTTTTTACTAATAGAGAAAGAGTACAAACTGAGATTATAAATCACTCGAAGGAACAAACTAATCTCACCAACAAGCTCTTAATCTCTCCAAACAAAACCCTAAACAAATAGCTCAGAAAATACCTCTTTTCTGTGCTCTAAATATCCCCAATTTTTCTTCTCCTCATTCTCTCTTCTAATTGTTCCATATATATAGAAATCCTAAAATCATAAACATACTAGGAATTCTAAACCAAAACCAAATCAAATTAGGAATCCTAATAACCTATTACCAAAATAGATTAGGAATCCTAATAACCTCATGTTACCAAAATAGAATAGGAATCCGTTTTCCAACAAATTCCACTCATAATCAAATTTTAGATGAGAAAGAAAGAAGCTAAACCTACACATCTCACAACCCACAAGAATCAAGTTCATCTCTCTCATGAATGGAACCTCATGCTTGAGAGTATATCAACTTGCCAAACCTATATAAGCATATTCGACTACCCCCGTCCAGGACCTCAAAGACGCTATCGATCATGTCAATTACATAACTACTGATGTATTTCTTAGAAGCAAATTAACTAAGCATATCAATGCATGCGATTTTTTTTTAATTTATGTTTAACCTTAGTTTGGTCTGTATCCATAAAATAAGAATATGAATGCATTTATCATGCATTGTCAAATATGAATGCATCACATATGCATGATTAGTTCACTCATTTTGGTTTTGACTATTATTTTGAGAAATTTTGTTATTTCCTCTTCAAATATGAATGCAAATGCAAATGCCTATGCATCCTTGGTTTATGGATTGTACTCGATATAGATGCTACTGTGGTACATATTTATAATTAGAAGTTTTTACCTTTAGGCATGTAAGCCCATTTTTGAAATTCTCCTTTTTAGACTCCAGAAAATAAAATTCCCTAAATATACATTAATGTTTCAAATTCTCTTAAATATGTTGAACCTTCTATGCAACTACCGTTAACTAGTTCAAACTTGGGAAAAAAAAGAATACAATTGGCAAAGGAGAAAGAACGACTATGTGTTTATGAAGAAATTTAATAGAAGAAAATTTTTAACGTTGGTACACCCTTCAAATTTGCATATCACTTATAATATAAGCTCAAGCAATTATTTTGTTTAATTCATCAAGTGTATCTCATCCTCTCATCCTTTAATAGTTGTCTTTTTAAATATATATCATCCAAAAGTTCTATATTTTAAATGTATTGTGATCCTTTAGTTTTAAAATATCATAGAACACCTTTCTTTTTCTTTCTTGAATACTTCGGATGACACCTTTGAGTAAAAAAAACGACAAGTATGAGTACGTGCAACGCACGTACACTATACTAGTTTAATAAAATCTAATAAGCTATGGACAAAAACAAAAACACCCGGGAAAGGAAAAAGGAAGCTTTTAATAAAAACTAATGTTTCTAGCTCTTCATGGCATAAACCAAACCTGACTGCAAGCCATGCACAGTACAGCAAGAGCAGGTGTTCGGACACGGCTCAACTGTGCTAGAAAGAAGGCAGGCCCCAGAAATCCAATGGATTGCATAATCTGTATCACAGAAGGTTGTAGTGTGATCAGTATGGACGTACAAACTGATATCACTATAAAACTATCAGTCTAATATTCTGAAGACCTAACAAATGACTGATATTATTCAAAACAAATCAAACCATACACACCACAAACACTGCTGATAAGAGCATTGTTTGATGGGCATGATTTTTGCAACATGTGCTTAGTAATAGATACTGATCTTTTTTCCCTTAATCTGGATTAATTATAAGCTAGGAATACTCATGAGGTCAAACTTATGGGATCATTGTAGACGAACCATGAGCATCTTTTTAACACATATGATTATCACTATCTACAGCTCAGCAACCCTACTAGTACTGGGGGAAAAAGAAAGAAAAAAGAAAGCTACGGATTTGTTCATGTTTATTTCCCATAAAAAGTTCACAGGTTGAAATTACAATCTTACTTGACTTCTGCTAACGACACGAATGAATTGTACATACAGTTTTCCTTGAGCTGGTGATTAAGGAGATAAATCAAAGTGTAGGCTTGATCTTTCCTAAAATGAAACTCAAGCTCGGGAATAAGTGAGCACCTTGCCTTCATCCAATTTTTTATTAAGTACTTGAACTCATTGAATAAATGTAGTTAAAGCTAAAATTACTTGTAATTAATGTTCAAGCATGAGCAACGGGCACAGTTTCCATCAAATAAAGATAGCATTTAATGCATGAGAAAAAGTTTGTGACCTCTTGATATCTTGTTGTTACACTATTTTGGATTTATAAATCAAGATAAACAATGAAGATCATCTAAAGGATGACCCACCATGGAGTTTTCGTGAAGCTTATTTTCAGAACTAACGATAGAGGCCCTGCCATATTATATGTAGAATAGGAATAATCCTAGAAGGAAGGAGCCCCTTAGCCAGCCTGGCCCAAAAGTTGAAATATTCATTTTGGCATGTGGGAAGCCATTCCACGCATTAAGATTTACATGTTCTTTTACATTATCATTCTATTTTCCCCCGTCATCATCTAAAGCAAAGTTCTAGATGTCAACGATTCTGGTTCAAACCTGAATAAGAAAATGAAATACAATATTCAATTTCCATCAATTAGGAGTTCAAACACGTCTACCTTTCGGACTGTAGTTATTGAAAGCCCTTTTGCCACAAGTGTATCTGCGATCCAACCTCCTATGTTTGCAAACACAGCCATGGTTAACCATGGTAATACACATAATAGCCCAGACTCAGTAAGATTGAACTTCAGTACCTGAGAAGAACCGTTTCATATTAATTTAGATATATCAATCACCACATAGCTATTTCATTTCTCACCTCTTCTCATTAAATATTCCATTACACAGCAATCAGGATGAACTGATAGATTTAACTTCTACATCTCCCATTAAATATAATAATACATGGATACATATTCATTATACTCTGTCTGAACAGCTAGTATACCTCAATTTTGCCCTATCATCCATGACAGCATAATCTAATACGAAAGCAATAGCAACAGAGAAATAGACATTGCATGGCAAGAATGTGAAAGGAGATTGTCTCAAACATAATCTGTGGCACCAGTGCAGCGCATAGGGTGAAAGAAGATTAATTTGAAGTTAGCATGTGATTTGGCTCATACTTTGCTTTACAATGCAATTCGCTGTTTTAGATCTTTTCCATTATAAATATCTTTCTGTGCAAAAAATTAATTCTTAATTAGTTCACTTTACCAAGTGATTTATTACACACAAAGCTGCAAAACCATTGAATACACATGCCACATGCACACAGGACTGTCGATCATCAAATATCATGCATATCTCGCATGTTCCTTAATATTACACGACCAAATAATTCTAAATCAATATAATCTTAAAGTTAAGCATGCCTATTATTCTATTTCCCTCATGCAATAAAGAGCTCTAGTTATCCCGCAATCCCCCAAATGCATGTTATGCTGAACTGTTATCCATGCAGCCATTTAAAGAAGCTTTAATTCTTCTTAAAAAATATCCTATGTATACATTGATAGAGTAACAAATACCTGGTTATAGTATGTAGGCATCCATGTTAAAAGTATGAAAGTGCCCCAATTATGACAGAAATGAGATATTATGAGAGCCCAGACTGGAGCCTTTGATAGAATTAATCTCCAAGGAATGGATGAAACAGGCTCCTTTGACACACTTCCCCCTAAGATCAACCTTTTTTCGTCAGAAGAAAGCTCTGGATCTTCTTCTGGCGAGCTGTGTGCCTGTGCAAAAATGGTAGAACTTTTGAAGTCAGATGTAATGATGGAGACATTATGTGAAACTAGAGAAGGATAGAACTTAAACAAGCTTAACTTCTGGGTATCTAAAGAAGTTACCAGAAATGTTATACTCTCTATGCAAAAAAGTTAAATTCTAATTTCATTTATTCTGTATTATAGATGACATGGGCCAAGTTTTAGGGTTTTTTTTAACATATAGAAGTTCTGATATATATTTAACCGTCTCACTTTATCGTCTGCTTTATCTTCCTAAATAAAAGATGAATCAACTTTCAGTTAGCATATTAGCAGATATCAGCCATACATTTTCATCCACATTAAGCACTTGTATTATGCAGGACTCCCATACCAGCCAGAAGATCGGGACAGCTTCGAGTCAATAGGCTCTATTGTCTAGAGTATCATTAGCGACCTCCTATATCAGACCCTGGTTTACTTTTCTCTACCTCAACTACCTGAAATAGGTGAGGAAAAGTTTCCTTCTCAAACTTTTATCTGAATCTGATGCTTTGGAAACTTTCTTATTCCTGTTTATTAGATTGTACCAGTTGTTGCCTAGCCGAATAAATTGATTAACCTCTTACAATAAGTAATCATATCTCATCTTCCGGTTTGCTTTAACACATTCTAGGAATTAAAGACCTGCATCGTTGTAGCTTATGTCTTGTTATCAATATTATATTAGTTTCCTCTT